TATATATATATATATATATATATATATATATATATATATATATATATGTTTATAGTGGTTTTAGAGTGCTGCAAAAGAATAGATAACTGTATAAAGACAGCACAGAGATATAATTTACACCTGTGTACTGAGGATGTAATATGACTGATATTTATGGAGCGCAAAAGTGGCCCAAGGGCAGAAACATGTGGACCATCCTTGAAATGAGGATGAGAGCGTATTTAACACTGAACACAGCAGCAATTAACAACAATCTTAAGGCTATGTTCGGCATACTGCAACTTTTACGGACATCAGCGTGGAGACAGCAGCGTTCAAACAGAAAAAGGAGGCGCTGTGCCTGGGGGAAGAAGAGAGGATGCCGGGCTGGTATGCTGGTGAGGCAGAAAGCTAATGCTAGGTCCGGCAGACTGCCAATACCATCTCTCTTTCTGTCCAACGTCTGGTCTTTGGATAACAAGATGGATCTGCTTCGCCTGAGCATGAGGGCCTCAGAAGAGATGAATAAATGTGCAATACTCTGCTTCACAGAGACATGACTAAAAAGTGACATGCCAGATTCAGTGTTTTAGATGGACGTCTTTTTTTCCAAGTGGACCAATGCAGCAAACAAACAGGAAAAACATTCGAAGTGGGAATGTGTGTTTACATAAACAAAGGTTGGTCTACAAACTGTACGCTAATAAATAGTACATGTTCTGAGGCTTTAGAGCAACTAACAGTTAAGTGTTAACCGCATTATTTATCCCGCGAGTTTACAACGGTGTTAACAATAGCTGTTTATATAGCTCTGGATGCTAATATTAAAGATGCCCTGAAGGAGCTAAATAATAACATCATCTCACTTCAGAACAAACACCCAGAGGCTTTTTATGTGGTAGTTAGCGATTTTAACTACGTAAATCTGAAGGAGACACTGCCAAGTTTTTATCAGCATGTCACCATACCAACGCAAGGAAGTAACACACTGGACCGTGTTTACGCCAACGTGAAAGATGCATATAAAGTCATACCCCGCCCCCACCTTGGACTCTCTGATCACATATCAATCCTTCTGCCGCCTGCTTACCTGCCCCCGCTGAGACGCTCCAGACTGACACAAAGGCGTTTAAAGTGGTGGGTAAGAAACAATGACTCTATTTTAAAGGACTGCTTTCAACACACGGACTGACAAGTAATCTGGGAAGCTGTAGTCAAAGAGGGAGGGACAATAGACTTAGATGAATACACATCTTCAATCCTGTGTTACATTTCTAAGTGTACTGGTGATGTCACCACCTTCAGGAATGTGAACAGCTACCCATACCATACCATACCAATTTATTTATATAGCACTTAAAACAGCAACAAGGCCAACCAAAGTGCTGTACAAAAGAACCAAACATGCACAGCAGACAGGAAAACATAAAATAGAAATACAGATACAAATAGCAGCAGAAGCTAACTAAAATGGCCAACAGAGTAGAGAACAGACCGGACCAAAACAAATCACACCGTGTTAAAGGCAAGCGAATAGAAGTGGGTCTTCAAGCGAGACTTAAAGACTGAGAGTGTGGGAGCCTGCCGGACACTCAGTGGCAACTCATTCCACAGTTGTGGACCTGCAACAGAGAAAGCCCTGTCACCTCTGAGCTTACGACGGGTTTCTGGGACTGAGAGAAGCATCTGGTCTGCTGACCTCAGAGAGCGCGGTGGGACATATGGCTGCAGAAGATCAGTGAGATAAGATGGGGCGGAACTGTTCAGTGATTTAAAAACATACATGAGAATTTTGAAATGGATCCGAAGGTGAATGGG